ACGCAACAATCTGCTCTCGCAAAAATAGTTCCAAAGTTCGTGGGTGTTGTCGACTAAAAATAGAAGTAGATTGGATTAAAAATAAATATATAATAACGATGAATTTATAAATGCGTAAACTCTTAGTGGAAATAATTAATTCTTTTAAAACATTAATTAAGTAATAATACTATCAAAAATTATGAAAAGAAGAAGAATAGTGTACAAGTGCTTACTACCATTTCCATTCTCAATTTGTAACTTTCTATTATAATTTTAGCGAGGCGAGAAAGCTTCAAGGATGTGTACGCCGACTAGCGGATAAATATCAATAAATTTTCTAAAATTATTAGAGGATATAAACGCCCCTCAGATCGACATCATGTCTCTTGGACAAGATAATACCGTTAGCACACTCCAACTCAATCCTGCTATTGTTTCTTGGAGTGGCCTGGTCCTACCGGACCGATCGTCATCAAACTAAAGAGTGGCTATATCACGACTTTTGCATTTTAGTGAACATAAACGCCTGCCTCTCCAGGTATGGAAGACTTACAGATAGTGTCATTAACATTAACAGACAAACAATGGCCTACGAAAATCCATAAACAATTATTATTACACCTGGCACGTATTTTATCGTTTCGGTTGTACTATCAGTGTTACAAAGGAAATGCTAAAACTAAATATATATTTATATAAGAAATAGAATATATATTTATATAAGAAAAAAATTTCGTAATATCTCAATGCATTATTTCTATCTATGCATTGTATCTATTTCATTCTCTTTGCTTTATGTGTATATGTTTTAAATGTCAACGCAAGCGAGAAAGAAACAAAGGACAACGAAGTTTTTTATTCACATTAAAACTTACCCAACATTCTTAAAACTCGACGATTACTAAATTGATTTGAGCGATAACGAGCTGCCTTAATTTGACCACAACCACCCGTATAACGATATAAAATGGTATCACTTTGAGTACTTTTCATACCTAGACGACCACGTCTTAAGATCGGATTACCATTCCTAGCAATTGATTTACGTAAAAGCGTTTTGTTGCCTCCATGTCCAACGCCACGAATTACATGAGAACGATGCAAATGCAAACCAATCAGTATATATAATACCATTATAATGGACATCGGAAAAAAAAAAAATATTATTGTAGATATTTGAAATGAATGCTCCAATATGATGCGCACTACAATGCATTGGTCCATGCCGTGTACGGTAACAAGACCAAATTGAGCCACCTGTGGTATGGCCGTCACAACAGAAACAATCCATATCAAGATGATAATGCGCACGGCGCGACTTAACTTGGATATAGCTTGGCCAACAAATGGGTGACAAATGGCCGCATAACGTTCGGCGGTAAAGGCAGTTATAGTTAGAACAGTTGCGTTCGCGGACATTTCTGCTATTAACCCACGACCAATACAAAAATATTCACCAAATATATAGGGATATTTAGACCAGATGAAATATATTTCTTGCGGTATACCTGAGATAAGTAACAAGAAATCCGATATCGCCAAACTGAATAGATAATAATTCGTGGCCGTATGCAAAGATCGATTCTTTCGAATTACAACACATGTACTAATATTACCAATAAAACCAGTTATAAAAATTAAACTGTAGATAATCGTTAACGGTATAACTATTTCCAAGGGGTCTCTCTTTGGTCCAAATTCCACCAATGAATCGAATATCGCCGTTTCTTTATTTGTTGTTGTTAAAGTAATGTTCCCCACGTTATTGTTGTTAGTTTCGTTTAAATCGTTACCCGTATCCTCGACTAATTGACCGTGGTTAATTTCAGACATTTTTCTGTTCAATGTTTCGCGCGAATTGACTTTTATTTTTTTTTTTATTTTTTTTTTTAACTTGTATCTTAATGATATTAAGACTTTTGGGAATTTTCCAAAGGAGAACAAAATTACAATTTAGGTTATTCAATGTTCATCAGACTTTTAAATTACTTTAAACATTTACGAAATGCATACAATGAACTATAATAAATTAAGTTTGTAGTTTTTCATTGATTGTTTGTGTTTCTATGCCGGACATTAAATAAAATCCCACGTAAGGGCTTGTTAAACGCAGTTGGCACAAGTATATGCATGCGTATGTGTGCATGCGAATTTAGATTGCAATTATTTTAAGCACAAAACACGAAGAAATAATAAAGTTGTCAACCTTAATGAACTCAGTGAAAACACTACAAAAACAAAATATTTCAATATTTTTTAAAAATTTTACCATGTTATGAATATTTATTTTCTTTCTTTCTTATTATTTTTTTTCCTTTTCAAATTTCATGACGTTGCGTTTTTAGAAAAAAGAAAACAGACGCACATGTACCCACACATACAAGCTAGTGTGGATAATCATTTACTTTACACTTGATCAGTGATGTAAGTAAAGAAATTTTTGTTTTTTTTTTTTTTGTTAATTATTACTTATGTACCTTTCTACAATTGTGTTAAATGGTCATTAAAAATTTTGAAACAGTTAGCAATCTTTTAATCTCCTTTCGCTTTTTTATTTTATTTTTACTTTTGTATTGCTCTTAATCACTTTTCTGAAAAGATAACTAGACTGTAATCATTCGCAATTTGTAAGCCGTTTTAATTGCTCTGCACAATTATTCAGTTTTACTTCCGTTCAATTTATGCTGGTTTTAATATTTACGAGATGCTGTCTTAGTTATTTTCGCTCATTATAGATTTTTTTTTATATTACATTTTATTATTTTCTTTAATCGATTGCGTTGTTTGTTATTGTCTTCACAAAAACCAAACAAAAATGAGTGAAAAAATAGTTTTTCGCGCGTTGTCCGTTGATATGTGTTTTGTTTTTTTATGGGAATAAAGCTCTGTTTTGCATAAAAACTTTTTATAATAAAAGCTTTTTATCTCTAAAAGCATTTAAAAATTATGTATTAATTTGTCGTTCTAAAGTACTTGAAAAAAAAAAAAAAAAATTTCACGTAAAAATATTATTTTCATGACTTTTCCCCGTAATTGATACGAAAATGAAATGTATAAATAAATATAACACGAGAAAATTTATGTCATACCCACGCATACGCCCAATAACCCATGCTGTAAAAGAAACTGTTGGGTTTGAATTACTCTCAGATGTTACCAAATTCGAACTCGTTTTTTTAATTATTCTCAATTGTAAACAAATACAGACTAACTCTTTGCAGAATATATTTTGATCAGAACTCAGGCAACAAATGTGCGCCGCCATACTTGCATGTACTACATATATAAGTTACTGTTCTGCATTTAGATTTGTACAGAAAATTGAAAAGCAACAATTTGATTGCAGAAAACTATTCTGGCAACACATTATTCGATTGAAAAGAAAACAACAAAATAACGGATTTCTCTAAACTGAAACGCATATTTTATATATTTCGATTTCCGTGTGATTTTTCGATGAGTTCTAGCAAAGTGTAAGAAGAAAATACTTTCGTATGTTTCTATTTTGTGTTTTCCGATCCTCGTAGAGTTCTGAATAAAATGAAATGCAATTCACATTTCTAACGCACCGGTGCGGATGATCTTAATATTTACTCTTTCTTTAGTTTGCTCTGTGACATTTGCTCTCGCTTTCTTCTCTCCTCTTCTAGAGATTAGTCGTTTTTTTGGCGTGCGATAGATGCCAAATTCGACAATTACATATTACCAAAGAGATTAGCATGATCAACCTTTGAAGTATCATAATTTAGTTGGCCTACCACCGTACACACATAGTGCTAAGAAATTTGCTCCGAAGACACTGTAAAAAGTATTATAATATAATAAGTAACAAAAATATAAAAAGAGGAATCGCTTCAGCCACGTCTCCGTACCTGCAAGGTCGTCCGTCTACCTGTCTGCTGAAATCACACTTACAAATCGAAGGAACATTTTGTAAGAAGAACTTTGGATCGAAAGACGAATATACGAAAACTCCGAACGCAAATTTCTAAGCACTTAAAGTCTTTAGGGAAACTGCCGTACCGCCTTATATTCGTAGACGATACTAGCGGACACCCCACAAAAACCTCATTGTTACTATATGCGCCACATGACCTTCAAAACAACGAAAATCAAAGCCAATTTAAAGGTATGTAACAGAAGCAACTATATTTTCTATAAAAAAGAAAATCGTTTAATTTTACATAATTGCTACATATATTGACATGGTAATAAGGCTGATAATGGCTGATGAATAACGACTGATGGCTGAAATTATATTTCCCATTGGTATTTATTGAGATGAGAAAAATCTTTGTAAGCTTGTGAATAAAATTAAGTAAATGAAGACATTCTATATGTTGTTATGTACTAAGTCAGGTAGTTAGATGTGCTATTTGCCAGGCCTTGCTAAAATGTTGATTATCTAATGAGCGTGCCGTGTTAGCAGGTAAGCATACGATTTATTGAGCCTATTTTGCAATCAAATTTGCTATTTACTAGACTTTGCTGATAAGTGATAAGTAAGTTATCTATTTGGACTAGCTGTAACTAGATTCGGTAGTAATTAAACCTTTCTAGTAAGCAGATTTATAAAGCATGTGTACTTAGTATTTGGATTCCCTATTTACTAGACCTAACAAGTGAAAGCACTGTGCGTCGATTCGTAATTTACAAAGAAACAAGTGATTAAGAAAACAGGTAAAAACGAGTGCAAGTACTCAATATCATAAGATTCTGTCTAATATGGATATAGTAGAGCTATTTTGGATATTCTGTGTCATTCTAATGGAATCATTTCTGATTTTTACGTCATGAGTTTCAAGAAGCTGCAAACTTTATAATAAAACACTCTTAATGCCGACATTGACTTCTTAACAGAATTCCCTATGAACTTTCCATTTGCTAATTTATCCGGTCATTGAATACAACAATCTTTACAAATATATTGAAAAAAGCGCCAAGTTTCTGTTAACGCTTTATTGCTCTAAGAGAAATGTAACTTATTATGGCGTTGCCTTCAGTTGCCCTTTTTTTTTTCATTATTTGTGCTACTATTTTATTACAAAATATTTTTTATAAACATATATTTTATAAAAATACATTACATAAAAATATTTATATTTAGACAATTTCAAAAATATATGTTTACATGTACATATTAATTAATATATTGATCCCCAACATGTTCGTATACATTAGCAATAATACTGCATTAACTTTAACAGTCGGCGACAGTTAACGATTGACATTATTAGTATTTTCCTTTTTTTTTCATTACACTTCCAACGCATTTGCACCTTTCATGGTCAATTCTTGCAATTTTTTGTATGTATAAGTCATTTCGTAGTGTATGGAATGTGCGTTATAGTTGATACAATTTCGAACATTCAATTTTCGTAAACGAGGTAAGCCTGCAACTATTTGCAGAACAGAATTATCGGCGAGCAAAAAGCAACTCGAAATCGTCAGATCTTCGAGGGCGGGACAATGTTGGACAAGACCTTCGATAGCGCTTGACGATATATTATGACAGTAACTTAATTCAAGTTTGCGCAATTCTTGGAAATTCAACGCTTCGCTAAGTGATCTATTAGATAGGTTGCAACAACCACATAAACTAAGTGTCTGAAGTCCCTTTAAATTGCTTATGGCAGGCTTTGAGGGATCCGCGCCAATGAGCCCTTCGTCAGTAACGTGTATGCAATCGTCTAAAATAAGATGTCTCAAACGTCTCAGATAACGAAAAATATAATACAAAGATGAATCGGTTACAGCTTCATAGCAGTTTTCCAAATTAAGTGTAGTTAAATTACATAATCTTTGAGCTAATAAACATATACATCCCTCCGCCATATTCGTAATATGACTTAAATTTAAGCTACGTAAAGCGTAATTAGTGTTCTCAACTATACCTTGCAAGAGACCTTCAGCTGTCAAACGGCACTTGGCCAAATTCAAATGATGTAATTTGTTTTTTATCGCACCCAGTTGCTTTAAACCATCGTCCGTTATGCATTGGCAAAACATCAAGTCCAATGATTCGACAGAATTTGACCATTTTCGTACAATTAATTTTAATAAATCGTCACTTAATTCTAAACTGCCGCTCAAATCTATTGCTCGCAAACGATTTTCTGCACCGAGACTTTCCAAAATGATTTTTAACCAATTATAACTACAATTACCGGTTATCTTCAATACTTCAAGTTTAGTAAACTTTTCAAAAGTTCGCTGCCATTTTATTAAAGTTGACGGCTTCGAATTCCAATGATTTCCGATACCCAATTGACGTAATGAATCAGCGTGTAATTCCAACGTATATAAAATTAAATCCTCTTGACTTCTATCAAATTCGAGACTCAATCGTTCCAAATGCTCACATTGATCGTATATTAAATTCCGAAGTAATTGAATTTTTATATAATAAGTAACACCAGCGCACGACATATGCAAGGATTTGAATTTCGGAAATTTATACAAATCCACCGAGAAATTATTGACATAGCTTTGTATGCTTGGTATACGAGTTAAAATCAACTCTTCTAGTTCCGGTAAATAATCGTTAAGTACACAAAATACCGGAGATTCATGCAGTTTCAGTTGTCGTATGTAATAACCCAAGTACTCAAAAGCTGTTAACAAATCCTTTTCCACTTTTACGCCATGCAACTCTAAACATTCGTATTGTAGACATTTACAAATTTCCGGATTCCTCTTGAGGACTTGGGACAAATCTTTCAAATTGTCAGCAGTAATCACCAATTTCGATTTGCGTTTCAACTCAGGTACACGGCATAAATCACACCAGTGCTTGCAGACCAGTTTGACTTGCTGTAGATCTCCGTGGGTTAAATAGGTGAAAATTTTTATCCAAATTTCGTTTGGCAAGTCAGGTAATAGCGCGTCTTGGGCATCCGTTGGTAATGCAGTTAAAGTATATGACATTTTCTTCTATTCTAAAATTACAATTATTTTTTAAAATAAAATATCTTTCGAATTGATTACTTGCATAAAAAATAAGAAAGAAAGCCAAAAACGGGTCGCTTTAAAAAAAATATCTATACGTTATAGGAAAAATTTTCTATTTTACTTTCATTGGTAAGACATGTTGCCAGGTTTGAAATATACCAAATGAGTAGTCAAATATCTATCAGTCGTACAGCATTCCAACCAGGAATTTAGTATGAACTACATCTTCTTTTGCTCAGCAGCAAATATATTGAACAAAATTAACTTCTTTTGACAAAAAAAATTCATGTTTTTCATTCCATTCATTTTTCAAATACAATCGAGATTAATGCCGGATTTGTGTTCGCATTAAAAAATAGTCGAAGTATTGTTACGAAAATCCCAAATCCAGTTAATTTCAGGTAAGTAATTTTCCCTAATAATAAATTCCCTAAAGAAGGAAAAACCAAAGAAGCATTCGAATGCGCCTCAAGCAGTTGCAGGCCGATGAAAGCGATTGGCGGAAAAGCAGCCTGGGATTAGAAATAAAACCATAAATTTAGGTATAGTAACATGCTTGTAAAAATGTATACAAATACAATATTTGTGGAAGGGAGAATTAGTCCGACAGATAATGTGTGAACCAGACATTCGTTAGGCAAGCACACGATAACTCGTAGAGACGATGACGCTTATAGAGGATTAGCTTATCGAACAAATAGAATCATATGACATAGCTAGGTGTAAGCATTCTTTTGAAAACGGCCTTTAAAACATCGAACATATAAAAAATAAAACGTAAAAATAGTAGCTAGTTTGGGGTGCCAAGACATTTAGAAGAAAAGCTGAAAGCACGCTTAATTTTACATGCCGTGGCTTAAACATAAGAATGGAACGAATTATCGGCAATCAATTCGGTGATAAGAAATTAGACCTACGTACCGATATATATCTGGCTATTACGTGAGACTTACGTTAGTGATAAATTACGCACAGTTGGACTTATGAACAACGGGATGCATATGTAAGGGGATGTAAGGAAGAAATATACCGACATAGGAAAGCGCATAGGCTGGAATATATGGCCATTGGGAAGCACTTATAGCCAGATGGTTACCATGACGTAAGGATGGACCGCATGAATAACATAACATACGGATGTTGGGGCGTATGAATAATGAAACATGCACATTGTGAGATGTACATATAGAAAGATGCGCGGCAGTGGGACACATCCGGGATAGGTTTGGTGGAACGTGCAGATGGCGGAACGCTTCGCTCAGACGGTAGGATGTAACAAGACTTGCACTAAGAACGACGATGGGACTTAACTGGGAACAGAAGTAGCAGCAGGTATGCATACACGATAAAAGTCTGGCAGACATATGCCAGATCTTTCTGATCAGGGATCAGAAAGACTTGCTTACTAGTTAAGCATCTGCAAAATTTTAAGATCATCTATCATCATCTTGGTGCATATTGAAATTCTCCTGCTTTTTGAACAATAAGTAAATTGAAGCAATGGGATGGGCTCGCCACCTAAACAGGCATGTAAATTTAATTGATGGAAACTATGTTTACCAAATAAGGAGAGATAACGGCTATCTCGAAAATTGACTGAAAATGCCATTTCGGCCACTTGACTAAGGAAATTTCATAACAATTGTAAACCTGGTACTCAACCGAGTCATAATGAAGTCAATTTCTTTAAATAGACGAAAATATATTTATTTAATTTACTTTATCATATTAAATTGTTGCAGTTGGCTTGAACTTTTCAATACATACAACAAAACTATATTGGTCCAACTTCTGATTCATAACACTTGCGTTAAATATTTTAAATAGAGAATTTTTTTTCTTTTGTTTGTTTGTATATGGATTAGGCCTGTTTGATTCATATGCATGCAGACCCATAACCCAATAACCTGAAAAGAAACCATTGATGATATATTTTTTTCCTTATACATTCTATAGTTGTTTTCCTTTCGAATTTCAACGGAACGCATTCTCTCTATATATTCGATACTTGATTAGAAAGTGATGCCTTACCACCGTACCGCGATGCTGATCGCGAACTTGGTTAATTTGGCTTTCATATTTTTTTAGAAAAATTAAGGAACTTCATCGTGTCGGAATGGTCCCGCGGCTTCAGGTCCGACGACGACTGTCTCCTCATCAACAGGATGGAATACGCGCCCACAGTCCAGGAGGAGGAAAAATTCGAGTCGTTCGACATCGATGAGGAGGTATACCGCGACCTGATCTTAAATGCCCTCAGCGACGAAGAGGAAGGCTTCCTGCGGCTGCTCACAGGATACGCCATAGCGAGGCACATCTATGAGCAGCTGCAGTGTCAGGCGTGCCTCGCGGACCTAACCCCGTCTAAAGAAGATGCCTGCAAGGAGGTGAACGGCCGAGTAGTCACAAAGGAACGTTTGGATTGTTGGATCCTCTCCTCACAATACTTGCAACCGGCATTCTCGAAAGCGAACGTACAGAAAGCATTCCACCAAGCATATAAAATTTTTTATGCATGCATGGATGACCAGCGAGATCGGCAAACGCATACAACTGTGGCGGCGCATGTTGCCTTTTTCTCGCGAAGAGGTTCCTGCAGAAGCAGCAGTACCCACCGCATAAATTTATTTGGCTACGCGCTCTTCATGCTGCTGAAGGGGATAAATTGGAGGGAGACCGAAGACGAAAACATATCGTCGTACTAACGGTTCATCTCCTCCGCTTAAACAATAAATTGAAAAATATTTTTTTTTATATATTTTTATTTGAAAGATTCCCGATAATATGCGTAAATATCATCAGTTATTCTTATTAATAATTTAACAGAACCCCATTAAAATGGAAAATGCGAACATTTCACCTGGCTCAAGTATGGGCTTCTCTTGCTTTAAATATGAGTCGAGAAGCCACTAACAAGGTAATTATTTATAAAAATTGTATTGCAATTGCTTTTCTTTTATGAAATTTTTATTTTAGATCTCCTCCTCCACTTTGTGATACTAAAATGGAAAAAGTACTGGTGGTAGGTATTCTAAATGTCTAAATGTCTTCTAGCTCTATTTTCGTCAGTGTGAAAACTTTGAAAAACTTATAAAACTGTTAATGTTTCCTTGCTTTTCATAGATATTTATATGGACGCTACTGATCGATTTAATGAGATACATTGAACTAAGCATAACAACTGTAAAGCGTTCTCAAGGCGGTAAATCATTAATTTAAACTGGCTGTGTTGTACACTGTTACTACTATTCACATTTGTTTCACGGGGAGTTTTACAGCCACTTAAAATGACAAAAAATCATCAACCAATATTTGCTTTTATTATAAGATTTTATTATACTTTTTCTCAATTTTTAGGGGTATAGAAGAAATCTTCGATACCCATAGTGATATCCTTAGTACATCTGTACATATATATATATATATATATATATATATATATATACTTTTTCCCAATTTTTAGGGGAATAGAAGAAACCTTCGATACCCATAGTGATATCCTTAGTACATCTGTATATACATATGTATATATATATATATATATGTATATATATATATATACATATATATATACATATATATACATATATATATACATATATGCATATATTTATGTTTAGCTTTTAACAGGGTGATTTTCAGGCTAAACTATTTTATACTTCCGTGAAACAAGCAACGTTTGTGCCTTGAAAATTAGCTGGATTTTCTAAAGTTGTCTAAACTTTCTTGAAACAGTTAAAGTAATTCTTGGATTTTTTCTTAACATTTTTAAGTTTATATTTTAACCGGAGCCGATAGCCTGTGTTGCTAGTGCTCAATGTCTTTTTTTTAGTCTAAGAATTCAATTCATTAGTCTAAAATTAAAATAATAATAATAATAATAATATATTTTAACCAAAAAAAAAAATTTTTTTTCGAAGAATTTGAATATAAAGCACTATTATCCTGAAAATTAGATGGAATGAAAAGCAATATAATTTCAAATATAATGTTATCTTTTTTATGTAGTAGCTTTAAAAGCTATAATTTAATTTAAGAAAAATAAAGGAAAAAGGACGCCTAACAAAGTAGTTTCACATACCGACATTTCTAAAAGCCTCTTAGGATCATACAGAATATATATACATATATATGCTTTCATGTGGCTAAAGTATATAAAACAACCAAAAATATTTTACAAAGATAATTTTTAACAATTAATTAACAAGTAGTATTGAACAACCAACAAATTTAGTTTGGTATATATGTTGATATATTTACTCACACACATTTTAAATATGTAATTATGAAAGATATATAGCAAAACAAACACGAAGCTATCTCAACAAAAACTTTCACTTATTAAAAGCAACGAATAATAAAAGTTTTTAATAAGTTGCTTCCATCAAATTCATCTTCATTCCTATATAAATTCATTTTCATTTAACGATTTTCATTATAAAACCAATTACAATCGGCAAAAAAATTTATGATTAAATATGTAACTGCTACATCTAAAAAGCTGTTTTCTCTGCCATAAGTTATTCCATAAAAAACGAGACCGATTTCCACAAGTCTTTCAACAGTTTCCACCAGTTATGCACGATTTCTACGAATTTTTTTTATTGAGTTCGAATTCTTATGAATTGCCAAAAACCCACAATCTCTTTTAAAGGAAAAAGAAGAAGAAAATTAAGGAAGTAAAAAAGCCAGTGTCAAACGCCATTCAAAAATGTATTTGATAAATAGCTGTAGGTATCTCTGTGTAAAGAAAGAAAATACATGTTATTTAAAATCACGTTGACTTATTTAGAGTTAAAGCTTAGCTAAAAAAAAGCGTAGCTAAAACAGATTCAATTGAATCTTTTCGAAAGCAATTCTTGCTGTTTGCCCTTAGAAATTTGGGTTGGGATCCGATTGCCTCTCTTCCTCCCTACGAAAATAGGTTGCTTCTGCTATCCTTACCGTCTCTTGAAAGTAGGTTTGTTCTTGGCGTTTCCTTTCTAATCAAAGCAATAAATGGTGCTATTGACTCGCCTTCATTACTTGGTGAAATAAGCTTTGACATCCCTAACCGTTTCTCTAGGCACTTTATCTTGGTTAAGCTTAGTCATTGTATATATAATTATGAGTTGTTTAATCCGCTCCGTGTCGTTTGCAAGAACCTAAATGACGTCTATCAGTTATTCTCGTTATCGGACTTTTTAAAGTCCGTTAAAGCAACATTACTTAATACGCGTGATTTACCTATGTCGCACTTAAACTAGCTTTTATCCTTAAAAATTCGTTACGATTCGAAAATGAATTATTGTTAATTATTATCGGTTGCCAGACTTGTGCATGTTTGCGATGGCTTAGGGGTTCATTTGCAATTTGGCCCTGTACCGGTTGTAACTGTGGCTCTATGCTGCCTGTGTACATGCTTTTTTTCTTTTTTTTTTTTTCTTCTTATTTGTTTATTGTACTTATACTAAGTTTTATTATTAATTAATATAAGTTTTGCATTAAGAGCCAATTGAACTCGACTGTTATTTGTTTAGTTGAGTTTCATGTATAAGTAGAATTAAAATAAATAAATAAATAAATAATAATAATAATAATTTAGGATTTTCTTCCCTTATTTCGAATTAAAGCTCAGCGTGCTTGAAAATTGATTTCTCAATTGATTCTTGTATCTTTTCCATTTTACGTGTCTGCTTCTTAATATTATCTTCCATATCCTCAAACCGCTGGCTTTTATCTTGATGTTTTTCATTCTAAAAGGAAAATTTTTCAAATATTTTAATCAGCAAGAGAATATAATTTTGTCTTTATAACACACCATATATCTTTCCTTTTGCAGAGCATGCTCTACAAGTAAATGACGCAATTTCAATAATCTAGCTTCGAAATGATGCAATTCGATTTTAATTGACGAGAATTCATTGTCAGTGAAGTTATTTGCTTGTTCAGTCCTCCAAAGGCCTTGTACTTTCGGTTCAATAAAATCTTGACTATGGGGACCTGTGGATATCAAGCGTTCTAGACGATCGTAATGATCCGTGATACCGCGATGCTGATCACGAACTTGGTTAATTTGGTTTTCATATTTTTTTAGGCTCATCTGCGGGGTTTCAATTTCGTTTTCGCCATTGGGATCGTTCGAAATCATATTAAAAGCGTCAAATTCATCTTCATTTAAAGCATCTACGAAGGGAAAACGTTAATAAAATCAGTAAAATACAAAGCGTGCACTTCGGGTGAAATCCAAGTAACATGTGTTATCTAAATGAGTATTTTCTTCGGCCATTAGGCGCACATTAAACTTACTTTCATGTTTGTTATCGACCTTCGATCCTAAACTTTCTAAAAGGCTATAAAAGATGTTTATTTTATCTTGATGGTGTTGAAATTCTTGTTTCAATGATTCTAATTCTTCCGGAGTAAACCCAGATATTTCAGCTTTTTCCCACAAAGTGTTCAGTTTTTTGTCTTTGAATAAACTTTTATTCAAATGACGCTCGTCTTTCGTAACAGATCCGATATGGTTTAAGCTTTTCTTTATCCCGAATTTCCTCAAAATGCACTAATAAATCATAGGTGCTCATGATAATTTACAGGTTATCATCTTACTGCCATAAATATATTTTGTAACGGTCTTCCTCTTGCTAATCATATATTTTACAGCTGTTCAGACATTTTTAATTACCAAGTTACTATTAAACTATGGTAAAGAATCGGGAATTGTTCTTTCTTTTGCAAAAGCTAACCGAACTTTCATTTAGTAGAAAAAGCCAATCGTAGTACAGAATTCCTTAAAACGTCTAGCGAAAATTGATCCGCGAGGAAAATCGTATTAAATATATTGCGTTCCTCAAGAAATTAAAATAAGAATTTAAAAGAAGTAAAAGCAAGTATAGCACTGCACAGGCCACATTGAATGTCAACCTACAGATTCAGGAATTCAGTTATGTAAATGGCAATGGCAAAGATCAAGGGCATATAGTTGAGAACAAGAGGTTTTAACTCCATTGGCTGGCACTAACCAATGTACTAGGAAAGTTTCCTTTGCTTTAAAATTAAAATATATTTTTACACATGGGGTGACGAAAGCAGTCTATAAAAAAAGCAGAATAACGAATAACATAAAGAATAAATGATATAATTTGAATTTATTAGAGAATTAATTAAATGTCCATAATAAATAAATAAATAAATTCACATTTGTTCCTCTTGCAAATTTAAGATTTGAAGGAAAAAACACTTGCAGAATGAAAGTGAGAGAGCGTTCGACGCAGGGAAGCACAAATTTCGGCTCGTATGAGAGTAACTGGCTCGCTCATTTAATTACTCTGAAATTTGTTTACAATTGAGCGAGCCAGACAAAAACAATCGTAGCGATGAATCCGTCCAGTCTTAACTCAATAGCAGAACAACGAATAATATAAAGAATAATGCTACTACAAACAATTGTAGCATTGTAAAATTAAAAGTATTTCAGAACGCCCTCGCTTGCTATAATTAGTAAATTTTATAATGTACAGTTTTTTATTTTCATATAAAAAAATTCGCGATAACTACAACTTTTTGAGAGGACATTAACAGATGCAAAACTAAGCTGCTGATACTAACAGATTCTACATTCGCATTGGCATCTTGATGATGAAATTATTAAAATCAAGAGTGGCCAACGAATTGATTCTTTAAACATTTCACATTTATCTTATAATCACTTTAACAAGCCCACAAGTAAGTCTCCTATTAGAGAAGGGACTTAAGATTATCTTACGAAAATTATATATGCGAACATTGCGGTATTCAATATAAATAAAACATACGTTGGTCCTTTTTTTTTGTTTTTTTATTTTTAAAAATCCCAAAAAGTACATGTCAAATAAATAAAATGACATTTACATAATACAAAGGTTTATTTATATATATGTAAATATATATGTATATATATATGTATATATATATAAATATTTTAAAATCTAATATATATATCGTAAGAAAATTTGAAAAAGGCAAAGATAGAATATTGCACCCGTGTGGTTTTCAAAATCATTTTGAACGTCAAAAACTTTTATAACTAACGACGCTTGAAATTTGTAACAGCTACAATTCCACTTTAAGAATTTGGGGCTTTTGTTTTAACAGCTTCTGTTGCACTTGTTCCACCTCTAAAGCGTCAATGCCGTTCATGCAAAGCTCACGTAGGGTTTTACAGTAAGTCATCACATAATCAATAGAACGCATCGTGAGATTGACACAGTTTGATACATTCAATTTTCGCAAACGTGGTAAGCCTAAAACTATTTGTAGAACGCAATCATCACTTATCATAAAACAACTCGTAATTGTCAATTCTTCAAGAGCGGGACAATATTCCACTAGGCCTTCAATACCGCGTGAGGAGATCTTATAGCAATAACCCAACGTCAGCCTACGTAATTGTTGAAATTTCAATGCTTTTAAAAGCGATCTGTTCGAAATGTTACGGCAACCACGTAAGCTAAGCGTTTCAAGTCTCTTCAAGCGACTAACCGCTGACATTGAGTATTCTGTGCCTATAAGGCCATCATCTGTGATACGTACACAATCATTTAACGAGAGATGACGCAAATGTCGGAGATTGGAAAAAATGAAATTTACCGATCTATCGGTTACAGCTTCGCGACAATTTTCCAAATTGAGCGAAGTCAAATTTGGTAAACGCTCAGTCAGCAAAAATATAAACTCTTCCGATAGACCTGTGATATGACTAAGATTCAAGTTAAGCATCTTATCGTTCGCGCTTTCAGCTATACCTTTCAGTAGTCCTCGCGCTGTTACGCGACAGCAATAAGCCAAATTCAAATGATAGAGTTTATCCTTAACTAATTTCAATTGTTTGATGCTTTCATCCGTTAAGCAATGGCACACCATTAAATCCAATGACTCCACAGACTGTGACCATTTATTTAAAATAAATTTCATAAAATCATCGTTCAATTCTAAACAACCGTTCAAATCGATTTTCTGCAGCCGACTCTCTTTTGGGAGATTTTCTAAAGCAACTTTCAACCATTTATAACCACAATTGCCGGTTATTTTTAGCACCTTTAGTTGGGTAAACTTTTTAAAAATTTCTTGCCATTTCACTATTGTGGAAGGTTTCGATCTTACAATTATCTCCACGTGTCGTAACGAGTGGGCGTACATGTCCAAAGTGTACATAATTAAATCCTCTTGATCGCTATTAAGTTCTAAACTTAAACGTTCGATATTCTTACAAGGCACCAAAGTCAAATTTAATAATAAATGGATTTTTATATAGTATGTAACATTGGCACAGGACATGTGCACCGATTTAAGGTTTGGAAATTTGTATAAATCTGCCGATATCGTGTTGTTACCGTTTTGTATGCGGGGTAGATGTGTTAAAATTAATTCCTCCAATTCGGGTAAATGATCGTTAAGTATGGAAAACACTGGCGATTTATTTAATTTTAATTGACGTATACGAGAACCCAAATACTCTAAAACGATCACAAGATTTTCCTGCACTTCTAAATCTCGCAACTCGACGCTTTCGCATGATAAATATTTACAAAATAGTACTTGGCATTTTATAATCTTGCATATATCCATCAAATTGTAAGGTGTGATGACCAGTTTCGATTTACGTCGTAATACTGGTACACGTGTCAACTCGCACCAATGCTTACAGACCGCGTTTGCTTGTTGTAAATCTCCAAACGGTAAATAAGTGAAAATGGTTATCCAAACTTCATTAGGTAGAACGGGCAACACGATCTCGTCATCGTCCATTGGGAAATTGGTGAACTTATTCGGTAACGTATTCGTGATGTTCTAAAGTCGTAAATATTTAGTTTTTACATATAAGACCTTTTAATCTTTCTAGAAAAAAAATATATTACAAAAATAAAATGCTTGCGGTTTAAAAGAAAATTGATAATGAAATGAGTTTTATTATTTATTTTCTTTTTTTTTTTGACGTTCCTTAGTAACGTTTGTTGCCTAGTTTTCAAGTTTTTTAAACAACAGAAAACAAAATAAACGTTCACATATACGCATGAGTGTGTATGTCATTATGCCCATGCGTAAATTCCGTGAAAATTCTAGTAGTTTGCAATTAGGTATTTCCCGCATCACCTGCACATTAGGGATAAGCGTTTAGGATTCAGCGAGATCGTTGGCTTACGCGGAATTCAACCCTTTTTGAACAGGACAGGCAAGACAGGGGTTTTTCTTCTTTTAATATGGCCAATCACTTAAGATGTATCGCTTGCACGTGTATTGGAATTAACAGAAAGAAACGCGCGAAAAGAGACAGAAAATGCTCGCGGCTTCCTACATATCTTTAGCACTTAAATGTATGCTACCAAATAGATATTCGCATACATTAATAACCTAATAATCAAAAATTCCGAAACGCTGCTGACGCAGTCGCTGACTCTTCTAAAGGCTTAAGATGGTCATGCCCTGACTGTAGGCAGCGGGATATTGATTTTTACAAACTTTTCACGGAGACGCGAAATGGTTTCTCGGAATCGAGTACAAATCTCGCCTCCTTGTGGGAGAAGTTTCAGCTAATTAAATCTTAAGCGCCCAAGCAGTATGTATGCCATTATTGACCAAGCAATTCCTACACCTATCAACATGGTTTTAATGTACTAGGAGTTGAATCCCTATATATCGACTTAATTATGTTTTAAAAAACGGTCCAGATTCGAAGCGCGACTATACAGTGGACGTAACCGGGTGTCAATTCCTGCCGCGACTGTACTTTATGTTGATTGATTGAGAAAGACGTAATGCTTACCGATGGCGCACACCTTCGTGGCCAGACCCTATTTCTCCTTTCGACGTTTCTTTCTCCTTAGCATATCATCTATAATTATCTAGGTGTAGAGAACTTTGTCTAAGTAGCTGGCCATAGTCACAGAAGGCTAAACAGGAGACTTGTACGTTCAGACTACATTCAGGTATTTACTTATTTGTTTACCTTTTACAAAGTGAGGTCCGCCATACTATGACGTCAACCTACAATGGAAAGAAAGAAATTTTGCAAAAATGATATTCGGAAGGCTTACAGCAATGAAAAATACTGGATCATAAATGGTACAAAACATCCAGAGAGATATGCGAAGTAATCTATTAATGCCCGATCGTATATTTTTTTAAAGAAGCAAGCAAACTTAAAACCTAGATGTTGAAGGGTCGTCGTTGAATTTCAAAGGAAAGAACACAGGACTTTAAGATATTTTCAGAAGAATCATCTGCCGTTAGTTTTAGATACAAAGCGTAGTGGAGTTTCTATTTACTTTCATAGTAACGACCAAACCAAATATTGTATTCGCGCAAAGCTAACATAACGATTTGAATGACTTATTTCATAGAAGAAAATTCAAAGGAAGGACTAAAATACATCCTTTAAGGTATCTAAAAAATGCTTTTTGATGGCTTTTCCTATTTTGAAAGAGGCTACGTTCCAATTATGACATTGCAGTGTACATTTTCGAGAGAATGTTTTAAAAGATGAACACATCAAAGAGTGTTCAAAGAGCATCTTGGTTGCTTAAACTGTGCTGAATTTTTTCCAAGAAATTTGTTACGAAGAGAAATCTTTCAATGAAAATTTCTTCCTCAGGCAAATAATTGCGTTCCTTTGCGACATATCGATATGAAAAGTTTTCGATATAACACTTGCCAATCCCGAAAAGTTCTCAAAATTCTGAGTAATACATATACTTTCGTTTTTGACTGTATGTTACGCAAAAAATATATATTTATACGTATATTTATTAAGTTATGAAGTCATTAAAAAACGAGTAGAGCGAATCAAGCAAAATTTCTCTCACAAATAATGCTTTTATCGAAAAACTATGTTAACGGAGTGATTCTATGTATAAAAGAAGAAGGCAGAAGAAAAAACCAACATTCACATTTTCAGAAATATACAAGAATACCATTTCCCAGCATAGAATTTAATAATAAATATTTTTGCGAAATAATAAGACTTAATTTACTTACCTATCTTAACACCCTTTTTATATTGATGTCTATATTATGAGGGCACAAACTTTTAGGATTTTATTTTAAAAAACTGCTTTCACTCATTGTATTTGTAACGTCATAATATGTAAACCATTTTATAATGTTTACATTGCTTTACGTATGAGAAACTTTCCACTAATTTATTGAGAAAAGAAAAACGAAAACAATTCTCATTGCAGGTTGTCTGTGCCTCTCGCTCTCTGCAAATGTTTACGTACCAGTTCAGTTGGATTTAATTAAGGGTTGCCGAACTATCGGAAAACGTAACTATGTAGTGAGGAAATGTTACGTTTCGTTTAATTTTGTGTTCAGATTGCACAACTCTTTTACTTAACATCATCTTACGTGAATCATCTATTAATGATTTGTTAACTAGCAGAAGAACAGAAAGTTTCGTTAAAAATATATGACAAAATGAGACGCTGCGGTTTCTTTATTTATTAGAAGGTAATTTCTCTTTGAGTTCTTGATTAATTTCATTACTATTATTATTATTACTATTTTCATAATTTAGTTAGACCAAAGAAAGAAATTGTAGTACTAAAAATAGGATGAGCATCATCAACCAAGACTATCAGCTCTTTGGCTTTTTAAGTAAGATTAGCTGGTTAGTTTAGCAAGCTTAATAAAGTCAAATATTTTATTGATATTAGATTTTCCAGGTATTTTCAAGATGTCCATTGCGGGGTGTTTTAAAGACTAAGCTGCTAATATTCGAACTTTACAAAGATTTCTTAACATTTCACTGATGTATTGTAGCGATATCTTCAAGTCGGATTTTTGCAAATGTTTTGGTCTTGGTTTTTTGACGTTGTTTGGATATAGAGGTGAAACGATGTTAGGATTTTCATATCGATTTTTTCGTCAGTTTTCTCTCTATTTTTTTTTTCCTAACACCAGATTCGGTTTTATTGTATTGACGTACTCTCGTTCAGAATGTGATTGATTTGAACATGCTCTGCTGTAGAATATATAGAAATAATGCATGCCGGTTGAATTCGAAAGGAAAACAGCTGTAAAATGTACAGAAATTTTTTGTATTTCTCTATGAAATAATTGGTGTAAGTTTTATTGATAAAAAAAATCAAAATTTCTGGTATTTCTTTAACAAATAATAGGAATGGGATCACTTCTAGAAGCGTTTGTGAAAAGGGATGCCAAGCACTACAATTTTGTTTGCGATTAATTCTCTGAAAACGAAATTTGGGTGTGCATTTTTTTTTCTATACTGAGAGTGTAAAATCACTTTAAATCTAATTTTTCGGCATTTGCTTAGTAGATTGTACAACTCCATTTATATATACATTTTTTATGTCCTAATTAATGGTATGTTAAATATCTGCTATGTTAAATATTTGATTCTTAAGTGCTGATAAAAACTAAGGCAATTAAGTCCTTCCAATAGAAACATAATATTATTTTACAAAAATATATTTATAAGTAAACCTTGTGCCTTACTTCAGACAACAGCTGTAGCAGACCCATATAAAACATATCCAGCTGCCACGATTTTTTTCCACCACTTCTTTTCATTGAGCAAAAATTATTATGTTTTTTTCGTCACTTTTTCTGATTAACGGAAAGTCTGATGTCTTTTCTGGTACTTCTTCTCATTTAACAGATGAGAGATATCTTTTATTCACCATTTTTCTTATTTATCAAAAGCTCTCCATTCTCCACAGACAGTATCTTTTTTATAAGCGGTGTAAAAGACAAACAAGCTAACGGCTTTCTGTGAAACAAAAGAAATTTGGCAAGCACAAAAAGAAGTGATTTTAATTGAAAAATTGAGAAATTAAACAAAATCTATCAGAAAAAATTAGACGAAAAATTGCGAAATAAAAATATAAAGACGCACATATAGTTTTTATAGTGTATTAAAATTGTTAAGCATCTCTTAAATTTTGTTTATTAAAATTTTTAAATATATCTAACGACTTTTTATGTAATTCATTTTTCTTAATTTTTCTTCTTTACGAAATGAATTCCTTATGTTTTTATGTTCATTGCATTCAAATTTATTTTGAATAAAGCTTGCGCGACATCACATTCGAATATCAAATAATCAAATCTTTCTCATTATTCAGAAAAACGAATTGCGATATTTAACGAATTGAAAGCAAAAATCCTAGTTTAGACTTGAGTGCACATAAAATATTTACACACAGGTTTATTTGAACTTGTGATCATATGTAATTTCCGAGACGAATTTATATATCAAGTAACATGGACAATAAATTGGATGTTAAAAGTTCTCAAACGGTTGTTAATGGTGTCAGTTTGGAGGGGTTTGGGACGGTTTTATTTTGAGCTCCAGAAACACAGTGACCATGATATCTTATTTAATCGAGGAGAATACTTTAATAATTTTTCCTTTACTTCTTCCGCATCAAAGTTACTAATAAACTGCATATTCAATCGTAACGTTGTAGTATGTTTTACAGCGTAGTCGATAGTAAGTGCGGTCAGCTTTGTACATTCATTAACGTTCAGTTTACGTAATCTCGATAATCCTTTAACTATTTCTGGAATTTTCAAATTCAGTACACTCAAATTGGGAAAACGCTGAATCAACATACATATATACTCATCCGTCATACCTCCAATGGTACTCAGATCCAGACTTCGTAACGTTGTTTTTTCTTCTAAACCTTGTAAAAGCTCATGATTAAATAGACGATAACAATTTGCTAAATTTAAATCATGTAGTTTATCATTTAACACACAACATTGTTTGATGCGGTCATCGGTTAAATTGTAGCATCCATTCAAGTCCAAAGGTTCTAGGCTGTTACACCATTTTCGTGCAATGAATTTTAATAGACTGTTATTTAGCTCTAAACAGCAATTTAAAACTATTGTCCGAAGAAACGTTTCTTTTGGAATATTTTGAGAGAGAACTTCAAACTATTCTCTCCCAAAAAACTCGACTATCTTCAATACTTCTAAATGAGCAAATTTTTTGAACATTTCTTGCCATTTCGATGCATCGAATTGCTCCACCCGTATAAAGATTTCGAAATTGCGCAAAGAATGAGCATACATTACTAACGTATTCAATATTAAATCTTCGTGATGGCGTTTAACATACTTATTCTTAATTGCTTCAAGTCTTTGAAATGGCTTGTCGTCAAATCTAACAGCAAAAAACCTTTTATGCTATTATCAACAAAGTTACACGACATGTGCACTGATTTTAGTTGGGGAAATTTGTGGAAATCTATCAATGAGGAATTAACATCGACTACCTCGTTTAAGATTTTAGCTAAAATCATATTTTCTAATTTCTTCATTAAGCAATGAAAGTGTCCGGTAACTGTCTAATTTCAATTAACTAACATAAAACCCTAAATACCCGAAGACTTTCAATAAGTACTCAGCCTTTTCCACATTATGTATCTTTACTTTCTCAAATTGTAAATTATCAAGGAATTCTGTACGACGTTCAACGATTTCGCAAATATCCTTCACATTGCATAAGGTAACAATTAGTTTCGTTTTACTCTTTCATTCAGAGACGTTAGACAATCGACACCAATATTTATCAACCAGCTTTACTTGTTGCATATGTCCATATGAAGAGAGTTAAACGTTTTTATTCACACACTTCGTTAGGTAATGTAGGAAGTAAATAATCCGTAGCAGATATATCCGACCATTTATTCATTGGATTCATTATGCCCTGCAATTACAAATGTTCAATAACTTCATAGAGTGACCTGAGTTCTAACTATACATTTGTTTGCATGTCCGCGCGTCCGTCTTTGTCCGTCTTTGAAATTCTTTTATGTAATTTTTAATAAATAAATTTGGTTAAAGTTTCATTCACTGTTTTACTTCTCACTTATTTCTTACAACCTCTTTCTTGTGAAATGATTTTGTTGAAACTAACTGCATTAAATAATAAAACGGCTAAGAGCCACCATCAATCGAAATATATAAAATAAGCGTTTCAGTCTAGAAAAAACAGTTCTTTTCTTTTCAAACAAATAGTGTGTTGCCAGAATAGTTGTTTGTATTCAAATTGTTGCTTTTCAATTTTCTGTACAAATCTAAATGCATAACAGTAACTTATATATGTAGTACATAGTAGTTAGCAGACAGGTAGACGGACGGCCTTGCAGGTACGGAGACGTGGGCGAAGCGATTCCTCGTTTTATATTTTTGTTACTTATTATATTGTTACGAAAATCCCAAATTCAGTTAAATGTCAGCTAAGTAATTTTCGTAAGAATAAATTCCCTAAAGATGGGAAAACCAAATGAGCATTCGCAGGCGCCTCATGCAGCTGCAGGCCAATGAAAACGATTAGTGGAAAAGCAAACAGGTAAAAGCTAAGTGCATATTCGCAGGATCGTCATGCAGGTGCAGGCCGATGGAAACGATTAGAGGAAAAACCAGGCTGGGATTAGACCATAACCATGAATTTAGGTATAGTAACATTCTTGTAAAATTGTATACAAATCGAATATTTGTGAAAAGTTAGTATGGCAAGAACGTAGAAGTTGAGAGTACGGCCAAAATAAATTGTAAATAAATATTCCTACTGTTGTGAAAGGCAAAGTAGTAAAATAAAAGAACTTTGAAGTGCATTTCTCTTGATCAAAATATCCACGATCTAGTGATACGGACTGTATCTTAGTAAAAGCGAATTTCATAACAATATGTTCAGTTGCAATTCTTAAATTGATGCGATCTAATATGAATTCGATTTCAAGATTGCGCATAAGATTATTTTTTCGTGTCATATGTAAATCATTATTAGATTGTCTTGATCTAAAATCCAAAACATAACCATAAATTATAGAAGAATCTACTATTATACGGTAAATTACATAATGAATAAGTAACGCTAAAAAAATATAAAAATAATAAACTTTAAATAAAAGAACTTTAAAGTGCATTTCTCTTGATCAAAATATCCACGATCTTGTGATACGAACTGTATCTCATAAAAGCGAATTTCATAACAATATTGTAATACTTTTTACAGTGTCTTCGGAGCAAATTTCTGGGTACTATGTGTGTACGGTGGTAAGCCAACTAAATTATGATACTTCAAAGGTTGATCATGCTAATCTCTTTGGTAATATGTAATCGTCGAATTTGGCATCTATCGCACGCTCTGTTTTAGTGCACAATAAAGGTTAATTATATGATCCA